CTCCCAATATATCCTACCACTATCTTTGAGTCCTACACCTGGCTGTCTCTCTCTCTCTGTCCCTATTCTGGCCCTCTCCCAGACACAACCACACACACATGGCCAACAGAGTTACCACACGGACCCACACGTAGACTCATGCCAGCACACGGCCGGCACATGCACGTTAGTGGTAGATCACTCACACACACACACACACACACACACACACACACACAGATTGGAGCGGCTGGGATCGGGCTCGTACTAGCGAGCTTTTGTTGATTATACACGACCTAATTCTTTGCCCTGCTTTAGAGCATGGGCTGTTTGGATGTTCTACGGGTGGCCACGAGTTCTCTTTGGGGGGAATGTGTGTTTTGTGGGTTGGCGTGGAAGGCTTTCCCAGTTTTTGCCAGTTTTTTTGGACCGTTAGCAAGGCGGGTCGGTGCATTCTTGCTGGAGGAGGCTTCTGTCTTAGATGAGTTGTCTCTTATCTTCTTCCTCCTCTTTGGCAGTGACGCGAGTGTGTAGTTTGAGATGAATGTTGGGAATGCCAATGCTGTTATATTTGTTTGTTTTTGGTCAATGAATTTTGGTTTTGTGGGCCGATGCGGAAGGCTCTCCAAGTTTTTTTGGACCTTTGAGGGGGTCGGGTCAGTGCCTTCTTGCTGGAGTAGTCTTCTGTCTTAGGTAAGTTGCCTTCTGCCCTCCATCCCCTTATGGTTTGAAATATATATGTATACAATATACATATGTATATCTGCAAGTGTGCCGTTTTGGCGGCAGATGGGTGTGTGGGCACTTGGCGCTGAACCACACAAACGTGGCCAACCTTGCATTTTCTATTATATTGCCTATCTATACTTTTTCATTATGGATGGCTGGTGATGATTTGTGAAGGGAATGAGAGAGAGAATCTGGGGTCTTTTAAAACATCACACACACACACACACACACACACACACACACACACACACACACACACACACACACACAGAGAGAGAAAGTGCAGCAATCTGTATTTTCCAGAGTCAATAAGGGGATGGAGGGCAGAAGGCAACGTACCTAAGCAGAACAGACTCAGACTGGTAATTCTCAGATAAAAGATCAAAGCAACAGCATGTCTTCAGAAATAGCCGGAATTCCATTCCACGATTTGTGCGGCCCGGGGTCATTTAAAAGGGCCTTTACCCGATCAGACCCTGTAAAAGTAAAGCAGCGTGAAGGGGTATCTCGCCAAGACCCAGGAAACGTGAAAAGCAGGCAAACAGTCGCCTCTGGGTCAACAGTCACATCTTGAAAGTAAACAAAAGACTTGTGAAGGGTTGTGGTCAAACCCCTGGACGAAAGGGTGCGTCGCAGGGGCTGTGCAGTTTGTGCCTATTCGTGCAATGCAAGTGTCTGCTCGAACGGGGTATGTGTCTACTCGTCAAAATGCTGTGTCTGTTCGCAAGTTAAGTCAAATGTGAGTCCCAGTTCTGGTCTAGGTTGGATAGGCAGTCCAGATCCAGACCTTCAGTCCAGAATGCAGGCCGAATGGCCGAAACAGCGGCAGAACCTCATTGGGACACTACTGGGACACATGCAATGCAGGGCCTGGGACAGAGGAAGACCTGGGCGCCAATGCAGACCCAATGCAGGGAGGCCAGCGCTATAAAGAAGCAGCAAGTCTCACTCTGCATCAGATCTCCTTGGGCATTCTGCGTGTGGAAGTGCTGAAGCACTTGTGCGCCAGCCAGGAGGAGCAGCGCTGGAGGTAGAAGATGCGCTAGATGAGGATTGAGATGCTGGGCGCTGGCAAGAAGAGAGCAGCCATAGCTGCCCAGCCAGTTAGTGTTAGTAGGGAGATAGAGGGTTAGTAGTTCTGCTATGAGTGGCATTCAGAGTAGATCCTCAAGAGAGAAGAGGGTGTGTACATGCATAGAGAAGGGGAAGGGATCGAGACAGAGAGTGTGCAAGGATTTGGTTATGGTGGATACTTACCTGGGTTGTGTGTACTCTGCTGAGGTGGCGCTGATGTGGGAAGGCCACTGTGACGAGTTGGAAGAGAGATATGTGCTGCGCTATTGAGCGCTTGAACTCAGGAGACTTTGGCACTCTTTGTAATCATGATTTTGATAATATAAGCTGCGCTACTCGATTCTCCTCTTCTCTCTCCTTTGTCTATGGTGTGAAGACTTCAGTTCATTGTGTGTGTTGACGATGCATGCTGTGTACACTCTTGCGTGAGGTGGTCTACAGGACCCATGCACATTGCAATATGTACATATTATTCTATGCTACTGCCCTTACCCAGACCGAGAAACGAAGAAAGGGAGGAAAGGAGGAGGTTATAAGGAAGGAAGGAAGGAACAAAGTCTTAGAGAAAAGTGTGTGCCTGTACCTGGTCGTTTAGATGACCAGGTACTTCCTTCTTTATCACAAGGATTGCGGACCCCTCAATAGGGAACCTTAGTGAATGATTAAGGTGTCAAATATGGTGCTGTACCTGGTCGTTTAGATGACCTGGTACTTCCATCTTTATCCAAGGACTAGTTGTTTACTATGTGGTACCTATGTTTGGAGGCTGTTGCACTGGAAGCTGTTCTTAGCTTACTCCTTCAATGATTTTTTTTTATTTTTTTTGTTTCAACTTTTAAGCGTGACTTTATTTTATGAGCAAAAGGAGGCTGGGAATACCTCCACATCTCAACCCGGGCCCGAGATGCTGGGACCGCCAATACCCAGCTTAGGCTCAAACTTGAAAACGGGTCCAGTGTCGGAGTGTCCCATGTTTTCAAAATCCCAACATGCTATCCCAAAACAAAATGTCTAAACTGGACAAGGGGTGCTCGTATCACCCCTCGTAGCGTGGCAACGTGGTTTTCTTTCTTAAAAAAATAAAATAAAAAAATGGTCAAACAGTAAGAAAGGAAAAGAAGAAAAGTTCAACCGAGCCGTACGATTCGTTTCTAACGAGACTGTGCCTGCTGTCCTACCCCGCTTTCTTTATTCGCTATCATATCCTGTATCTCCTAAACCCTAAACCCTTCTTCTCCCTGGCCCTGCTGCTTTCTCCTTTGGGAAGGGTGGGTGGGCCGCGGTTGCCTCCGTGGGGTTTCACTGGAACAAGAGTCTCGGGCCCTCAACTATGGCTATCTTAGTATCTTCCCCTGGACCAGCACTCCCTTCTCAAAGTTTTCGATTATATCCCGTGCCTTTTCTGGTTTTTGCTGGGCTTGCCTTTTTTCTTTTTGCTTTTTTCTTTTTTTTAATCTCACCAATTGGTTGCAGCTATTTGTCGCTGTCTCTTTCAAAAAAAAAATATATGTCTGAAATTCTTGGGTGTCTAGTCTGGAATCTGGATATAATAAACTGAGCACGAAAAGTTTTTCAAAATGTTCCAAAAACAAAGGCGAGGGGTAGGGAGCGGGGGGAGGGAGGTGCTAGTGCAGGAGTGAAGTCCGTGGGGCAGGGAGGAGGGGTGGGAGGGTCGGACACAACACCTGATTGCGAATGTGTGGGGTCTTCTAGGGCTTTGACAGAGGGGTTGGGATTATCTCCTGTTGGGT